CATCACACGCGCATTCCGACATGCCTTCAGACACTGGATAGAGCGATCGTCGGGAACTCAGAATTACCTTTACACTCAGTCAATCGCATTCCCAAACAGCTTGGACCAAAACGGAAATACCTCCGTTCTGGTGATGTGTCAAAGAGACTTTTGGCCATGTGGAGTCCACCCACGCCTCTCTTGTTCCATCCCGATCTAGGTCTTGATGGGTGATTAGCATTCGCGTCCTACTTGCCCTCGTAAAGCCATGCCGCGCTGAGCTGAGCTGTGCTGTGCTTTGCTGCGGTATAGAGTACTGATACTACCATCATTTGACCTCGACTGCGCGCTTCATACCACGCACAACAAGGGGCATAAGCACTGCTTCTCAGCACCTACTCGTGCGCCAGCATCGGCTCCAGTAACGTACCCCCGGGTCACGGCATTGCAATAACACTTATCTGCAAGTTGTTCCTCCTGGCCGGTTACGGTTTTGACGGCTCGCGGGTGGCTGCAAGTCTAAGGGACTTTGAGAGCAAGCTGCTTCAACTCGTGACTAACTTGGAGGCACCAAAGGTCTCCCGGTCAAGGCAAGCTTCGCTTAGAGTTCAGTTCCTTCGTCGTCGACCTCCGTCAGTCAGTCAAATACCGTCGGTCCAAGTTGTCATTGTCCTCGTCGTCCTCATCGCCGCTCACTGGGTTCTTTAACCTTTCTCTTGCTGGACCACATTCACACACCCCTCCCCCTCTTCCCCCAACACCTCTGTCCCTTGCCCTTCACTTTCACCCTTCCAGATCCCCACTGCTCTATTACACGCCCTCCCTTCTCCATGTTCGTGGGAGGACCATCTACCTACCTCATCACATCTCTCCACCCCTCGCGGGTTGGGATCTGTCGCTGCTTTCCACACTACATCCCCACGGCGTATGTGCTCCGTACTGGGAGGTGTCCTTTTCACCCCCATGCAAATTGTGTCCTTTTTTATTTTTTCCACCTTCCTCTTGTCACTTCTGCGTTTACAACCAGCCAGCAGTTACCCAGTCTATCCTCTAGATGCCAAGACCCAGTACGAGGCTAATGAATGCCGCCACGTTATACACTTTGCATGGCGGCTGGATGCTTGCAACGGAGGCCCCAGTCTCTTGGTGACGGGATGCAGGTCACATTACTATTGCGAGTCCAGGTTGACTGTCAACCGCCAGAAGGAGAGTGACCCGCACATCTGTTTCCTCGTCTCGTTTTGCTGATGCCACGGCCCACGACTTGAATTAGACTGGGCTGGAACTGACAACCTTCCTTTCCCTCTGAGAAACTCAACTCACTGACTGATGACTTACACGCATACCCACGCACACCTCTCTCTGTCTCTCACACACGCCACACCACACACTCCCACTTTCCACGCCTCTCAACTCACACTCCAGGGCCTAGCTTCTACTCACCCTTCACCCGCCCTTCTTTGATCTCACACCTACTTACCTTGCACGCCTTCTCCCACACCCATGCTCTCACTCTCTCTCGCACACTCTTTTTCTTTGCACTTGTCACTTTATCTTAGTACACTCCCCCGAAACCTCTTCTCTCACACTCCCCCAATTAAAACTTAGAATCCCACACTCCCTCCCAGATACGTACTCTCTATACGGACGATTATACTTTTCAACCCATGCCTGACTATCCATACCCGTACCTGTCCTGAGCTGCCCTTCTGCTCCCTCATCCGTGGTGACAAGGCCAGTTCCTATAAGAGAACCGTCTAATCCGGGGTTGGATTTGTCCTATTCGGATCGGTGCATTTGTATCGCACATCGAATCCACAGCAAGACCCAGCTCCAGCCCTTCCCCTGCAATAGACAACGCAAGCCAAGGCACAACGTCAAACAACTGTGCGCGCCTCTTTATTGGAGATACCCAGCATCCGTGGTTCTGGCTCTTGTACCTACAACCTACACCTCGTTGCTTGCCCCCCGCTACTCATTAAATATCGTCGCCCCTCCCCGTCACCTAGACCAGATCGGATCAGCCCATCACATTATATATCATCTCTCATCCTCCCCAGCCTTCTTACCCTCTTGGTTATATTCGCCTCTTCACCAAAGATCAACACTCACCTTCGCCATCTTATATATACACACAACACACCTCGTCTCTTACAAACTACGATGCTGTCCATCACACCCCAGGGAGATCACCACCAGCAGTCCCTCTACCTTCCCTTTAGACCGTTGTCTTCCTCGAGCCGTCCTTGCACCGACCTACCCTTCCTCAGCAGCCTCGCCAGCAGTATGGGTCACAGCCTTCACGTCGGCAACACCGCCTCGGTGACGCCAGCCTCGCTCAAGGACTCAGCCAGCGTTGCGCAGGCCCTCGAGATCGCCAGAGAGAGCGAAGACGGAGCCTCAGACCCGACTGTTAGCAGCATCCTGGAGAGCGCTATCAGCCAGATCTGGGCCAAGGTCGCCGCTCAGCCCGAGTCCTACGTTCTCAACCGAGACGAGTTCGCCGTCTTCAACTACTTCCAGCACCGCTTCATGGGCAACAAGATCGCCATGGCCGCCCGCAAGCGCTACTGGGACAACGCCCGCGCATGAATCCCAGGCCCTCGACCTTGCTAAGGGACCATGCATATTGGTCTATTGCGCAACTTAATCATTGCGCGTGGCCGGGGATGCAACTCGGCATCTAGAGCTTTGTATATGAAGCTCCAGCTCTGCAAGTAGCACATCCTTTCCCACACCAACCGCGAGCCTCACTTTCCCAGTCTGGCATTTCCTTCGAGTTGTACACGGGAAGCACCGCATACACACTTAGGAGCTACACCTCGAGGATTTACACGACTTATGACTCTCATTCTGTCTTGGGAGGTACATCTCGCAGTGGATGCAGCTTTTGCCCACTTTCTCGGGAATTCACAGCCTGCGCCCGCATATCTTCTTCCGTGGAAGAAGTAGCCAAATAGGACATGGCACTCTTCGTCTTTGCCACAGCTTGTACTTTCAAGCATGCATCCGATTCCGCCATACTCCGTCAGGGCCCTGGTAGGTGTTTGCCGTACCCGAGAATCCAGTCTTGGCTGTCAGCGCGCCTCGGTCCCCTTATCCGTCCCATAATCTCATCAGCCCACCAACAAATCCACCAGACGCATATATCCGTTCTAATACCCGAAAAGCACCCACTCATCAGCCCAAATCCCTGTTCCGGGGCGTTGCAACAACGAGGAAAAAGTGGGTCCTGCCCAAGCGTCCTCTCACTCCCCTTTCCCTCATCCTCCTCCTCCAATGCAGGAGCAGAAAAGGACCTCCACCATTTCACCAATCCCACTCCTCCTAAGAATGCTCCGCGCTCTCCAACATCCAGCGCGGCGGACGTCACAGCGCAGGCGGTAGCCCGCACTTGGCTAGGAGAGGGAGGAGCATGGGAAAGGCTCCGGCAGGCAACTCGGGCCCGGGATCTAGTCAGCACTTCATGGGCGGGCTCAATCAGAGGCCCGACGAGTTTATGTCTTGAATCGATTACAGGCATACTGCTGCCTACAATTTCTCCCACAGCCTCTGCCTTGTGGTGGCTCGCTTGATTTCCGAAGGAAGAGAGTATGCGAAGACGTTGAACTGCACGTCTGGTCATCCTTTAGCGCCTCTACAGCACTGTGAGAGCACGTTTGCACAGACATCGAACGACCCCTCCGCTGTTGTATGAATGTCACTCGGACGACGAAGACTGCAGTAACTCGCACAGCGATGATACTCTGCCACGGTCAAGCATGTCCTACCGCACGGCTGGCCTGGCAGCGGCAGCATCGCTTCGAGTTGGGATGACTTGGACTGGCGGTGTCTAAGGGACGACTCGTTGGTTTCGGATCACTGGTTGCCGATAGCCACTCAAGCCACCGGAGACATTGTACGACTATGCTGCCTCCCCACACCATTTTTGGTTACCATTCAAGTGTGGCTTGGCCAGCGCTCGAGGCGCCTATGTGAAGAGCCGCTAAGACGCTGCCATGACACAACAAAGTATGGTATCAATTTACTTTACAGTGGATTTGTGCCAGTCAAGTGTCTTGGATCGGGGTACCGCGCGGGCCAGAAGAATGATGAGCGATACTGTGTGTCAGTTTAAACTTTGGGATTATTGTTGAGAATACGCAGCGACGTATAGACGTCTTAGTGTGGAGGGACAGCAATCATGGGGCGATCGCCGGAGAAGAGATGGGCAAGTGTGATCCCATCACACGTTTGCGAGTTGCACTTTTGGCGCAGGCTAAATTCCATTTTTTATTCTACTCATGTTCACTCTTATACGCAAGCATGACAATTGCGACGTGGCATCTTTGTATTTTTCATGTATCATAGACAATACTCCAGACAGGTGCCATTCTGGAAAATAGTGTAAACACTGGAGAAACAATTGTGTTATTCATTCATCATTTACTTGTACTTGACCATCTGTATCGTGAATTATGCATGATTGCGTTCAGTGACAACGCATTCATTTATGTGGCAGGCGTTACTTCCGTTGATGATCTGTACTTCTCTTAGTCGTGTGTCTCAATGTGGAAGGAAAGGTACGAAAATTCAGATTACGGAAAGGAAGGCAAGCGCATGAGGTAGGCTGGAGTGGCTGCCTCAGGTCAGCTTGGACCCCGGGCTGGTTCTTGCCCTCCTACAGCGTTTAAGGTTATTCGGCGTTTTGTTTGGCTTGCATGGTCTGGCAGGTGCGGAGGGTGCGATTTTGGTGACAGAACAGGAAATCCAGCAAGGAAAGCACCTGTAACTTGTAAGAGCTCTCTGCTTCCTGCAGCAAAGCAGCCACCATTTTTGTTTGAGAAGGTTCAGATTTTATTTTCTTTCGGCTTCTTGCCCTTTTCCCATCCGGTGTCTCTCCTTCCTGTCCGGTGGGGTTTCCTCTTCACTGTTTCCCTCTCTCTCGGATGTGGAAGACAGCTACTGCCGCAAAGTTCGGCATGAATTTCTTCATGGTTTGAGGCAGGTATCTGAGCTGAAAGATGGCAGGCGGAAGAAACTTAGCCAACAAGTGAGGAAAGGCCAAAGTTGATACACATCAGACACAAACACACAGGTACATACACATAGGTAGATCCAAAGCCAACCACACGACAACAGCCACAGCAGATTTCTCCAGCTTCGCGCTTCTTGGCTTTCTTTGGGCTCCCCACTGCTTCACCAGACGGATTCCGCCTTTGCTCTTTCATCTGTGATTTGCTCCCCTCCAGCATGTCTTCCTCGCGAAACAGCCTCGTCAAAGCATAACTCAATATCGAATGGTGGCTTCACTCTAGTGCTTTGCCTTTTCCCGGATCCAGCGGTGGACTTGTACATTACATCTACTTCAGCCAATTTCACCAGCTTTTTGTCTGTCCAGACAGAAGCCTTCCTTTTGGTCCCGGTTTCCGACGTTGGATCTGTTCTTCATCGACCCGGTCTACCGCTCATTTGATCGGGTTCAACATCATAGCACACAGCTCGCCGTCTTTTTACCTCTGGACGGCGCTTATCGCTTCGCCAATCGTCACCCACATTGCTGAGGCTGGATTGTCTCGTAGCGGCGTTTACCTATACATTCTCCATCTCTGCCTCAGCGCCGCGTGCGGAGTGTCGGACCAATTCCACCTCATCATCTCGATACCTTGTTTACCGCCTCGAAGCCTTATCATCATCTCAGTAAGCAGCAGGTAAGGTACGTCCACAAACATCAGAGACCAAGCCAATTGTGGTTCGGCCTACAGCCTTCCCCGCTCCCTTGCCAGCCAGCCGCCCAAACCGTTTTACTTCCAATAGATGCGGATCTACGTACTGTATTCCGTCCCTTCGTCTACCAAATCTCGTCTGGCGCACGACGCCGCCTACTTCTTAGTGCCTCTCAGCTGCTTGTACAGGCGCTTGTTCCTCATGTTTGCCTTTGAGTGGCGTTCACCGGGTTCGCTCGCATTCCTCCCATGCGTCTCCACTCCTCCTCTCCCTGCCCGACCCTCTGGGATTTGTGGTGGCTTTACTCGATGCGCCGTTTTGCTCACACCTACTCTTCCGTCACGCGGTTTCTGACACCAACCACCAGACACGCACCGTACCCAACCCAGAGACATAGGGCAGAAGGGCCTCCTCGAGGCTGCAGAGTGAGGCGTCAAGCCTGAACCCTCCACGGGGCCCCACGATGCTCCCTCGGCCAGTCACTCAGGCGCTTGCCTTGTCTCTCTTTGTTCTCTTGCTGAACACGGGATACGTGGCTTCACGTAATCTGACTCCAGCGGCGGCCTTGTCAGGCTATGTCACCCGCCAGCAGGGAATTATTGCCGATACTCCGGCGCCAATGGGCACTTTGCTAGATGCAGAGGGCGGCCAACAACAGAAGCCGCTCGACTGTTTTCAAGTCGCCCAGCCAGTGTTGGGTCCCAAAGGCCCCGTGTACCAGGCGTTGACGGGCAGCTTTGATGATGGCAAGGGTAAATCTCCGACGACAGACCCCAAAGACTGCAAGGTGCAGTTGATGGACCACTCTTTTGGTAACAGCTTCGACAAACCCTTTGTCGGTAAGTGGCATCGCAATCTCATCACACCACCACCAACGCAAATCAAATGCGTGGTGGATAACCCGGAAATAGGTATCCTGACTTGGAGTTGATAGGCGACTACAAGCCTCCTGGCTGCGACTTCAACCGCGTCATTGTAAACTTTACTGCCACCTCTGCAG